TGAACTGGATTTGGTTATACGCCCGCCCTCAGAAAGGTGTAATTGTGATTCACCTTCGCTGGAAGCGTGGGCCCAGTGTAGGCCCACTTGTAAATTTTCAAGAGCTGCTTAAAATTTTTTTTTTTATTTTTGTGTATGATCTTCCGATTTTTAACATTTGTAATAAATTCTAATAAAACCTTTCAGATTTTGCCCCTGTGCTGTCAGTGTGCTTTAGATAAAATATATACACTTCTCTCATTTCTTGATTTGCTTACCTGTAAAGCAGAATAATCTTTGCCACTAGCAGATTTGCAGGGAAGATAAAGTATGTCTGAGTCCTTTGACGGGGAGTAGGGATTCAACCTAGGGTCCTTACACAGAGCTACACCACCAGCTCTTTTTTTGTCTGTTTCCAAGACAGGGCCAAGCTTAAGAAAATCTTGGTTATCGATACAATTCTTTGGTTTCTTGCATTGGTGGTGATTGAACCCAAGGTTCCCTGCTAAGCAAGTGCTCTGCCATTGATCCCATCCCAACCCATATTCATGGGACAGACTCGTTAGTAGTTTGTGCATGGACATCTTTTATATGAGGTATATAGTTGAGGGGATAGCACAGGGTCTTTCTAGGTAGTTCAGGCTGGTCTTGAACTCACTCTGTATCCCAAAATGGCCTTAAACTCGCTGCCATCCTCCTGCCTCAGCCTCCCGAGTGCAGGGATTACGGGTGTGTATGACCATGCCACAATTTAATTTTATTTATTTGGTACCAGGGATCAAACTCTGGACCTTGTGCTTACGAGGCAGGTGGTGGAACTAGCTTTTTAATTTTAAGAAATCTGAAGCTGGGCACAGAGGCACACACCTGCCAAATCCCAGAATTTGGGAGTTTGAGGCAGGAAAGCATGTGAGATTGAAGCCAGCCTGGACTACAGAGTGAGTTCAAGACCAGTTTAAACTACATAGCAAGACCCTATCTCAAAAAACAAAAGAAATTTGAGCATTAGCAGAACCATATGTTAGATTGAACACACTTAGATTTAGGTCCAAATGCTTCTAAATCCCCAATAGTGACAGGAAGGGAATTTTTTAATGGGATAAAGCTACAAAGAGGAGAGAGAGAGGAGTCCACACCAACACAATTCTGGATGCTGGGAAGCAGGTGTACGACGTCTGCAGAGGGGTGTGCGAGGCCACTGTGCTGCTGGCACATGGAGCTCCTAGGGTGAGCCTAGCCCCAGTGTAGGTAAACTCTGAAAGAGCAAAGTTGAAAATAAAATAATTTCTTTGAAGGTGGGGGAAAAGAGGAAGAGGAGATGGGAGATGGCTACTCTGGAGGAGTAGGGAGTATGCAAAACAAATGCTTTGAGCACCAACATGGAGACATTGTTCATGCATAAATTAAAATATACAGTTGCCTTCAGGCAGTGTATATAAGGTGTACAGTATAGGGAATGTAGGTGAGTTCTAGGTTTGGACTTGGGTCCCATCCTCCAGATGTCATATTACGTATATGTAAATACTCTAAAATTCAAACTGAAATGCTTCTGGTCCTGGGCATTTTGGTTAAGGGGTATTCAGCCAGAAAATGGAAGAGTGGATGCCGGGAAAGCAAAAACAACAGATTTCTACCTGGAAAGATTATTCCCTTTGAGGAGGAAAGGACAGCGCTAAATTCTAGAGGGAAAGGATAAGAAAATGTTCAGGAGGTTTAACTGGAAGCATATGTCAACATTTTATTGCATGTAGTCTCAGTGCAAGTGAAAAAACCCACTGGGAGGTTAGTTCCAAGATTTGAACCTGGTAAGGACACTAAAATTTTTTTACTTTTAATTACACAAGTACCTCCTTAGAGTAACTTGCATACTCTCAAGAATATATACAGTTTAATGGAGTTTTTTTGTTTCTTTGTTTTTTGGAGACAGGGCCTCACTATGTAGTTGAGACTGACCTGGAACTCACTATGTAACCCAGTCTGGTCTTGAACTCACAGCTGTCCTCCTGCCTCAGCCTCCCAAGTGCTGGGATTACAGCCACCACACCTGGCAGGGTAATGGAGTTTTACATATGTAGACATGTTAGCCCAACTACCCTGTTCAACATATAGAATATAGACCACTGAAAGCTCTCTTGGGCCCTCTCCCATGCAATAATACATCCCTACCCTACCCTGGACGAAGGTAACCCACTCTTCTATTTGCCTATGTCTTCAGTAGATGGTTATTCCTTTTTTGTTTTCTTGGTTCTGGGCATGGAACTCAGGACTTTGTGCTTTTGAGGCAGTCATGGTGCCACTGAGGTAAATTCCCAGCCCCTGTTTTCTTTTGAGACAGGGTCTCATTTTATAGTGCAGGCTGGCCTTGAACTCACTATGTGGCTCAGGCTGGCCTCCAACT